TTCTTCCTTCTCTACCTTCCCTCTTTCTTTTTTTTTTTTTTTTTTTTCTTTTGCTATGTTTATTTGAGCGTTTCCCCTCCTCCATGGAAACTACATAATGGACTATGATGTCTTTACTACCGAAATATACAACGTCTACTAAACTGGAGCGTGATTAATCTATTCATTCTAAAGTCAAGTACGATTCCAGACCTGCGGTCCTCACACAAACAATCCCAGCTCTGCCGGCGCCGATTTCACTTGATCCTCCTGAATTTCCTGGATCAGTGGACTGCCCGCATAATCCTCCAGGTCCAAATCCATATAGCCCTGCGCAGCCCACTTCCTCCCTGAGACAAAAATAGAATGCCCATTGATACCCGTATCGCTAAGGATCCGCAAGAGGCACTGTCCAGCATCTTCGACCGTGGCTAACACCACCCCCAGACTAGAAACATGGGCAAATGCTTCCTCAGAGAGAATGTTTGTTTTCACATACCTAAATACAAAAGTTAATGACCGAGTCACACAAGTTGTTCTAACAGGATTACTTACCATGGGGAGATGATATTTACCCGACTCCCGTAATAAAACGCCGTGCGTCGGAGAGAATGCATGATGCCTCGCATAGCCCATTTACTGGCACAGTACTGAGGCGCACGAGGGCAGTCAAGGAAGGCTGCACCAGATCCGATTAGAACCAAACATGTATCCTCTTGCTGTGGTGAGGGCTTCTGGCCGTTCTGCTTGATGAAGTAATGCGATGCTAATTTGGCTGTGTATAACGTGCCCTGGATATTAACGTCGATGGTGCTTAGATCCGGCTTTTGTGGTTCTTGGTCGTCGCCGGAGTACAGGAAGACTTCATCTGGTCGGTGAATTCCTGCGTTGGCAACGACGTAGTGGATCTTGCCTGTGGGGGAAAAGGAGACGGCTTCGTGGAAGAGATGCGCTTGGTCTTCCCAGATGGCGGTGTTGCATTGGATATATTTCGTCCTTGTGGATCATTAACGGGTGCTGTCACACGGTAGGGATATTGGGGTTTTGTACTGACCCCTTTAGCTCTGCTTCTAACTTCTTTCCTTTTTCTTCGTTCAGATCTGCGATACAGACATTGACTCTAGGTACTGTGTTAGCCGCTTGTTGTGTATAGAGCCTGAGTGGCATACCCTTCAGCAACGAGGGCGCGAACATAGCCTTCGCCGAGACCATTGGCACCTGCTGGGAGTTAATGGTACTGTCTAGGATGGCATATTACGCTGGTGAGATTCTACCTCCGGTGACGATTGCCGTCTTTCCATTTAAATTCTTAGTGTCGAAAGGCAAGGAACAGCCGACGGGTCCGTTATGCGTATATCCTTGGACTGATTGAGACATGGTTGTTGCTGCGAGCTGCCGTAAAGTGGTACGAAATGGTTTTATTCCTAGCCAACAAAGGAAGCGGGTTTGGTTAGATTCTTATAATTGACAGACTCCAGCATTATTTCTAAAATCCCAGTTTTGTAGTAGCCAGCATGATCTCATGCTGGACATTAAAACGGCACTAATGCAAGTTGCTTATCCGAACCAAAAGGGTTGTTCCATATCACCCAATCAGATCTATTGTAGTATATATGGGGCAGTGACGATGAATTACTGCATCCGGTATAGCGTTCCTAATCGGGGAAAGCGCCTCACTGCTGCTTTGGCAGCGTGGTTTGTGATCTATAAAGCTATTTAAAACCATACAGAAGTGACGCCTTCGAGATGAACCTCGTACATTCATAAGAAGCGTGCAGAAGCTACACTCTTGGGACGTATTTCGCAATAGCAACTCAGAGTTTGGACGATAGGGACCGCCGGGACCCGGCAAACGCATCCCGGCTATCGTAATATGCCACTGGGTCAATTCTCACAGAAAAAGGATTCTGATTCTCAGACAGTGCAGGCGTCTCGCGACCAAGAACGGCCAGAAGATTTCTGTCAAAGACCTCTGTCTGACCCCAATTACATAGAACAGAGCTCGACATTATTCCAAGATCGCAGCTCAATGCAGTCGAGTCTGAAGTTACTATCACGGTGACACTTAGGAAAGTTGACATAAATTTCTATATATTCCGTGCTTTCCGAGAAGAGTGACGGGACTGATACGCCTAGCAGAGAAAAAAAATATACTAAAGTGTTTTGAATCTATTTAAGCTTCCAATGCAACCGATGGTAGTGGTAGACGGAAGGGAGAGGAGATAGGAGGTGAGACTATCTCTCGTGTAACAACAACTTAAGATGCATAAGGTATACTGTCACAGCCTTGCTACCCCGCATCTTATTGTACAGCTATACGGGTGGGAAGTATGAAACAGTGTGATATCAAGATGACAACACTTCGGCGGCATGGGATGGGATTGGGACCGTGCTTGGGGTTTGGATTGTTGCTCACTGAGGGCTGCGGTTGTTTTGCCTTTGGAGATTTCTTATAGATTAGTGTTAAAGTCCTGATCCTTGTCCCGGCTTGACAAAATTATCTTCTATGAACTTGCTAACATCCATCATTGAAACGCACCAAACTGTTTACCGTGAAAAAGAACGCGGAACCACCCCCGTACAAAATCCTCTCTGCCAGGCCCCTAAGCAGTCTTCATCTTGTGGCCCTCCGAGGATTTGGACAATAATCGCGCCTTCCACTCCTCCACCAATCCCGCATAATCCCTTGGCTGATGCCGAACAAACAAATTCGCCCACCACGACCCCTTCCTCGCCGTCCGCAAGCCCAGATCTCCCAGCAAGAGATCCAAATACGGCATTACTTCGAAAATAAAGGCCGCGTTCCGCGCGCCGTGGTCCGCTGGGGACCGCAGGGCGCAGAATTCGGTGTGCAGTGCTATCTCGCGGATCATCGCCTCCTTGTCTTCTTCCTGAAGATGAGCACGGTAATAGTTAAGTTCACGGCCGTGGTTAAGATAGACAAGCGCCCACAGGGCCTGCACTTCGGTCATGATCGCGGTATTGAACGTTGTTACTGTCCCTAGGAAGGCGATGCTGTGGTCGTCCCATAGCCCTGGGGGAACAATGAAGCGCGCGAGGCGGAATGGGTGTAGAACGGTTTCTTCATTGGTGTCGTCCGTTGCGTTGTAGGCCCTGCCCTTGCTCTCGGGGAAGGAGCGGAGCATGGGCAGACGCGTGCATATGTCTTTGCGCGCCTGCCTGACGTGCGCCTGATTGATCGGGTCCGCGGCCCAGGGCAAGCCCAGCTCTTGTTCGATTCCTTCCGGTAAGAACCGAATGCCTGGGGATGCTTTCCACCCCGTACACAGGATGAGTGCCCTCGTGTCCAGCCTGTCGCCACCACCGCTTGTGCTGCTACTGTTGTTATTGCCGGACAGAACGACTGTGTGATGCTCCAGCCGCTCAACGTCGGCAATGTGCACCTTGACCAGTCCTTCTCGGATCAAGCTAAATAAATCACTCGCGAAATTAAGGATCCCCACCGCCGTCGCAACCCACATTGACCCTACCCAGGGTCTCAGCTTGGCCGTCTCCTCGTGGTCGCTGTACCGATTCACCTTGACCATATCCCACTCCAGGGCTGCCCAGAACAGACGCACAAGCATCCTACCGGGCCACGTCGCATGCAGGAAGCTGCGGACCGGATCTCTCGCCCAGATGCAGGGGCTGAACCAGCCCAAGGCACGCACGGAGGGGAGGCTCTCGAGGAGGAGGTTGAGGGGCCAGAAAACAGCGGCGGCGCTCATCCATCCGGGTCCAGTCCCAGAGGGTCTGATGACCCAGTTGACGCGGTGGCCCTTAGATGCGCATGCGTAGACGGCGTCCCACGCAGATTTGCTTCCGCCGAGTACTGTTATTGGTGCTTGTGCTTTGTCGGCAAGGCTGCCTCCATGTTCGTGTTGGTCTTCTGTGCTGTGGTTGTTGTGTTTGGCGAAGAATGTATCCTGGTAACGGGCGAGGTCTTTGAAGTGGAACAGTGGCACGCCGAAAGATTCCTGGCCGGGGAATGTAGGAAGGCGCGGCTGCGAGGTAAGCCCCGTGGCGAGGATGAGTTTCTGCGTCTGTATAATGCAGCTCTTCTCGTGTCCTCCTGTTGTGCATCCAACGAGCCACTCTTTCCCCCCTCCTTTGTCTTCACCCCCGTCGCAATATTCAACACTGTCCACCCTGCAATTCAACCGAATTTTGTCGCGGAATCCAAACTGCTCTGCGTACGCTTTCAGATACTCATGCATCGCTCTACCTGGTATATGCTCCCCGGGCTTAACTAAAGAAGCAGGCACGTTGTCCCGCATAGGAAAATCGCTATACTCGTATGATCCCAATAGATTATTCGTCCTGAGTCCAGTGTATAACCGCTCCTCTGCCCAAGCACCACCAACCGAGGCGGCGGATTCCAGAACAACCAAATTGATACAGGGATCGAGCGTGAGTGCGGTTTTGGCCGCCGCGAGGCCGTGCCAGCCTGTTGCGATCAGGTTTCAGCTGACATAGCTCCTGATGAACATATGCGGTGGACGAGTTTGAGGGCGCGAGAAGAGGGGAGGGGAATTTACCTGCGCCAATTATGACCAGATCAACTCTCTCCGGTTCCATTGTTGTTATTGGGACTTACCTCGCTTGAGTTTTGCTTCCACTTCGTCGGTCCTCGAATTGGCATTAGTTGAACTGAGTGCTTAGGTAGCTACATAGGTAGGCGTTGATTCGATGTTACGGAAAAGAGGCAGGGCATCGGCCTTGCACACTGCACTATCCTCTTATAAGTAGCCCCAAGGGCCCATTCCCCCACCATCACAGCTGGAAGGGGATCTCACCCGCCAAATGTGGCCTAGCGGGCGCCAGGCGCATCAGCTCTGATCCTTCAAGGGAAAATCCACCAACCAGCGAGCCAGCCGTGTCCAAGCCAGCTCAGTGACGCCTGTGCCAACTGTCCAATCTGCAGAACACGGACGCCGGGACGCCTAGCCTTGGCCCTTTTGGAACAAATTCTGCATCCTGATAAAATTATATAACTCGTCTTGGACCCGTTTAATAATCGCACATTACAGCAGAATAAGTTACTTGGGGGTTCTTAACCCCTTAGTAACCCAAGCGGTTTCTTCTCACAGCCATGTTGATAGATTCAAGCAACGTAATGATCTCAATTTAGGAAATCAACGAGGTTCCAACTTTGACAAGTTATAGGGCGTTGGACAGCAATTCGGGCCGTGCGGTAATCGTTGGCTGAGGAAATCCCTAACAACGACAGTTGCGCCTCCCCCCCCCCCTCGAAAAACCTTATGACTGATGAAACGTATCTTTCGTAGCATGCTCTACTCTTGAGCTAGGTTCTAAAGCCGACGGACTAAAATATATCTATATATATTATACAAGTTCTCGGGTGAGACTGTATAATATGTAAACATTGTACCGTTCTCAGTCCAGCGCATATAGTAGACTTCGTGCTGCACATGATTTAGGTCTAGGTTCCTAAGTAGACCCTTATGAAGATCAAGGAATATGCAGCACGACCCCCGTACCTTTAATTCTGGGACGTGGTAATGGATCTTTTGGTTAAATTCATCGACTGAACACCCTGAAGAGACTAGATATGTTTTAATAATATTATCAAGAGAGTTGAAGTCATTTCCACGGGGCTGTAAGATGATGCGTATTGGTTCATCCAGGGAATTTTCGCAGGTAGCGGCCATTGCGCTTGGTGCTGAATCTCCAGTGCTCTCCATACGGTGTACTAGTGTGTTGACGGAAAGGAATTCTAATTGTATTTACTATAGCAATGGAACCACACATATCTCTAAGAAAAGACCAGCTACTGCGTTTTCTTCTTTCCGATATTGCCGACCTTTCGTAACCCGAACAAACTAACCACTAGACTTGCGATATTCATCCCGAATAATGTCCAGAATGCCGCACGGTATCCCACCATCAGTGCCTCAGGACTACCTTTATCGTCGAATTGCGATTGTTGTCCGGTGATTTGATTAGAGATCAACGCCACGATCGCCAGTCCGAAACTCTTCCCAATCTGTGAGACTGTATTGAACACACCCGCCGCCAGTCCTTGCGTTTCAGCAGGGAAGACCCCCGCGATGAGAATATTCGATACAGTGAATAGTGAGTCAGCGGCAATCGAATTCAGACAGATCGCCACGAATGCACAGCGCCAGTAAACCCACGCTGGATCTACTAAGGCCATGATCAGCGGCGATACACAGGATATTATCGTGGTGATATTGATAATCGCGTCGGCGCGACATCTATGTAAGACTAACCCTGTTACAAGGGCGCTCAGGAGGCCCGTGATAGGCGTAGGGATAAACCGGATGGCCGTCTCGATTCCAGAAAGATGCTGTACGTTCTGGAAGAAGAAGTTGATTACCTGCTCGAACGCGTTGAAGGCACCCCAGATCATGAACACGTTGATGCAGATACACGTGAATGCCATATTCTTCCAGAGTGAGTTGCGAATCAAGGTCGGCTTGTTGCGGCGGTCTTGGAAGCTTTGCCAGAGTACAAAGAAGATAAGTAAAGCTCCTGACAGCGAAAAGCAGGCTATTGTCGGCGCCTCGTGCGCTTTTTTAATATCACCTGTGATGAGCCTATTGAAACATATTTAGATAGATTGGAATGCGAGGGGAGCCAGGGGGAACTGACGACAAAGCATAAGAAAGCAGACCTAGCGCAGCACTAGCAGCGACTGCCCCGACCCAATCAATACCAAACACCAGCATATGCCAGGCAACGGTTCCGACGAGACGGCGAGGAATCTGCCACCAAGATAAGAGGAAGGCAAAGGTATTGGCGATAGCCGCACTGTAGAAGCCCCATCGCCATCCAGCGCTGTCGGCAATAATTCCTCCACACAGAATCCCAACCCCAAAGCCAACTGGCTGACCTCCCCCCATGAAAGCAAATGCGAGGTTGCGTAATTTACCCGCGGGGAAGTGCTCACTAATAAGACTCATGGCTGACGGAAGACATAGTGAGGTTGCTAGACCTGAGACGACACGAAAGAGAATCAATTGAGTTCCTGTCGCCGAGAGGCCACAGGCCATGCAGAAAATGCTCTGGAGAAAACATCCGATCAGGAAGATAATGCGGCTCCCAACAGCGTCCGACACGGCTCCCAATATGAGAAGTGTGCATCCTGTCGCAAGGGCATACATGGATACCGGCCTATTCCGTCAGCACACGTTCCTTTCGCTCGCCGAGTCTCGGAAAGAGTTGCGAACCAAAGCTCTATACCGGGGTCCAGGGCTAAATCCTTCGATATAGCCGGGACGGAGACGGTTACCAATCCCCCGAGATAACAGCTGATGAACGTGATACACGAGATACAAAAGATTATTAGAGCAGAGTTCTTGGGTCCTTTTTCCTCGGCACTTTGATCTTCGAGAGATACTCCTGTTGAAAGATGCTCTTCTTTTGGCTCATTGTTCTGCTCGTTCGGGCGTTTCTCATCTCCTTGATTTGATGCTGCTTCTGGGGCCATTACGGCAGTGGAGAGATATCGGAGACAGAGAGATAACCACAGAGACGCAATGGGGTGATTAGGACGAGAGAAAAATGGAAAGCGAGTGATCATAAGGATCATCGCAGAAGAAAAAGGAAGCAAAGGAAAAGAAATTTATGAAGGGTGGATTGATATGTCGAGGCTTCCAACGTAAGCAGTCGAAATATCATGACTCAAGTCGTCATTCATCAAATTGACTTCCTTTGTTCTGGCGTCGGTTATACTCGGAACTCGTACTCTTAATAAGCAAGAGAAAAAAAGAAAAAGAACAGATGCAAAGGAAATGAACAAAAGAAGACAAACGAAATAAAAGCGAAAGCAAGCAGGATTAAGAAAGAATCTTGATTCAACCTGCGTGGAGTATCAAAAGTGGTGGGGGAGGAAAACCGGGTTTAGTTCGATTGAGATAAATGGTTATGATTAATTGTAGGAGAGGAAATTGCTGAGAAATGCCACCACTTGAGACACCATCCACGCAGCCTTCTAGTTCTTGCGACCCTGAATTTACATTGGCCCCCCAATCCAATCGTATGCCGATATTCCTTGGTACTTATGATACTCTTAGCACCTCTGTACGTTATCCGACGGGCCTATGTAGCCTGAGATTCGTACTTGACAGAATCACATAAGTAAACTAGTTATTAAACTGTTCCAGAAAGGATACCAATGCCCTAAAGATAGTCGAGTATTAAAGTTTATCTTTTTATCATCTTATTAATTATATGCGAAATCAGTGGCGTGGGGAGAAAGACTAACAACTATAAGCTTATATTTATTTCGAAGCCCTAAACTCAGCTGGATATACATCACGTGCTGCGGTAGTCCTGTCAGTACCCCTTTTTCCTGGCATGAAACAACCCTTTAACCGTTGTTTGCTACTGTGAGACGTTGGCAGCATGGATGTAAGACGCATTGTGAATCAGAGTCAGCTTTGTTGCCCACTTAGCGAATAAATGCGGATCACTCATTGCCTCGAACGGCCTCTATCTTGCCACACGGTCTGTGTATTGGCATCTTGACTCAGCCGGCATATTCATCCAGGAATATCCCTGTTCCTCGAAATATAGTAAGCCGAGTCCCTCGTAATACTGGCGTCGTCACACGGAGGGCGTCAAGTTACGAGTTCCCTCTTGCTTGGCTTCCGAGATCGGCCACCTTGGACTCAAAGAACAAAGAAGTATCAAACAAAAGGACGCCGGCAGTAACCGTCGCAGCGCTGATTATACCCTCTTGATAACCAGAGAACATGGTAGTTTATCAGATGCATTCCAAATGTCTCCCTATTTGTGTTGAACATATCCTCTGTAGTGTTCTCTTCACTGTATGGCTGCAGTAGTGGACCGGTGCAGTCGCCCCCAGGTTGCAGTCACGCTCGACGATCAGAAGGATGGGGTTGTCAATAGCTACACAACGGGTGATGAGATAAATGGCAATGTGACGGTCTCTGTGAACGAGGATGTGACCATTGATGCCTTTCAGATCACCTTCGAAGGTTAGTTCCTAGACTAGATTACGAAGCTTTCGACTTACGTAGACTATAGGCATCAGTGAGACCACTGTCGAACCACCGGGGACTATTATCAATCGAACAGCGGCCACTCGCTACTTTCTTAGGCTGCGCCAGCCCGTTGACTTTGGAGAGCTTCCTCATTGTCGAACCCTTCGCCGCGGCATTCTGTATACCTTCCCGTTCAACTTTGTTTTGCCTGACCGGCTATTGCCCCAAGCGTGCGACCACGAAACATCCAACTGGGTTCTGAAAGATGCTCATGCCCGCTTACCACCTACCCTCGGTGACCCGGTGTATTTACACAGTCAGCGAACCGCGCCTGATGATTTCGCGCCCACTGCATGTCGGGTGAGCTACATCGTCAAGGTCTGGATAACGAAGAACCCGTCTGATGGCGACAGTCAATTCTCATCTAATGTACTGGCTGCTGTCGGCAAGAAAGTACACGTTATCCCTACCGTGGATGAAGAGCCCCCACTGAGTGTCCAAGAGGACTCCGCGGAATATCGCCCATGGGCAGAGACTCTAATTCGTAAAGGCTTGTTCAGGACCGCGACCGGACAGTTGAAGTTGTCCGCAGATCAGCCTCGGCCGCTAGTGGTGCAGCTTCGCGGGTGTGAGCCCTCCGTGACATCGAGCATTCTTGCGAAGCTGAACCTTCGATTCGATCCTGTCGAGGATGAACAACCACCCCAGTTGGATACGGTATGCAGCCAACTAAAAGTGATGACCTTTCTGAGCGTGCTACCTTTCACCGACTTTCCCACAAATGCCCCGAATGAATGGAACCAGATGAATCGACGGACCTTTCAGCAGGTGATTCCCTTACTCAATATTCAGGTCGGCTCCGTTGTTTGGCAGAAGGAAATCGAAACACATAGTGCCCAGGATGGCATTTTCTGTCAACACGGAGCTCAGCAAAAGACGTACTATACGGCATCTATCTCGATTCCTACCAGTCTTCCCCAGGGCAAATCCTTCATACCGACCTTCCACTCCTGCTATATATCCCGAATATACATCTTGAAGCTGAAAGTCTCCTATCTTACCTTGAGCCGCTTGACCGGAACAAACTCGATCAAGCTGCCTATCCAGATTACTGCAGGAAGACAGGCTTGAGCACGGGCAGGAGATATCCCATATCTTTGAGGTCGCTTTCTATTTAATTATTGCGTCTTGGTTCAGTTTTCTTCATTTCCCATTCTCGAACCCTCGGTCCTTTCCCCTAATATAGTTTTACCATGGTTCAAAGCGAATTATAATAAAAAATGCGAGTGTCCTTTATGCTGCAAGCTCCTCGATTGTCATGAAAAGTGAAATACATGTAGCTACAAGTTTCCACGAGCCTCCTGGTCCCTCTCAAACGCCTCGAACAGGCTCTTAAAATTCCCAGCTCCAAACCCATCGAAATTGTGCCGCTGAATAATCTCCAGGAATACTGTTGGGCGCTCAACAACATGTTTCGTAAAGATCTGCAGAAGGTAGCCGCCCTCGTCAAAATCAAGCAGAATATTATACTTCTGTAGCTGTTCGAGGCTCTCTAATATATCGAGCTTAGAGACAGCCAATCTGTTTCGCAATACGGTATAGTAGCTATCAGGTACTGTTAGAAATTCAACGCCTCGTTTGGACAGATTCTCAACCGTTTGCACGATGTCCTTCGTGCTGAAAGCGATGTGTTGGCACCCGGCTCCTTGATAGTATTGGACAAACCTGGCGCTGTTAGCAAACCTTTTGATCCATATATGGGGAAGGCCCCTATGTATACTCCTGTATCTGTGATTTTTTAAGGCCTGCCGCCGGCTCGTTCATGGGCATCTTGATCCTTGCATTCGGTGATGTGACCACGATTGATCGCATGGCGGAATAGTCCGAGCACATATCCTTATCATCTACGGACCAATACCGGTGAAAGCTGAACACCCTCTCGTAGCTGAATGCTGTAAGTAAGAAGGAGGCGCACTATATGCGGTGGAGAGGGTTGGGGGAGAGAGAGAGAGAAGGGGGGGGGGGGGGGCACCTACTACTTAACGGCTCCATCTAGGCCGTCCCACGGCTGGTTTCCCACACAGTGATCAATATCGATCAGCTCCACTGGAGGCAATAGGCTGTTGAGTTTGTCTAACCCAGCAATAGCCTTAAATCCCGGCAAGAAAAGACCGCGATATTTCGAGCGATCGATGAGCGTGTGCACAGTGTCTCCGTACGTCTGAATAGTGGCCAGGCGTACCTCCCCATCTGTGCCTTCGTTCAATGCAGTTGGCTGTGTAATCACAGTGCCATTTCTTTTGGATGCATACGCCCAAATAGCTTCAACATCGTTCACCTCGAAGGCGATATCTTTCACGCCGTCCCCGTGCTTGCGCAGGTGGTCGTGAATTTCGTTCAGTAGCTGGTGATCATCCTCCGACGCCCGAACCTCCCATTCATTTTCTGGGCCAGTTATGGGGCCTGTGAACACAAACCGGACAGCCCCGTTAGCTACAACGTAGGAAGACGTCAGGTATGATCCGGTTTCTGGTCCACGATAGGCCACAGCTGTGAAGCCAAAGTGCGAAACAAAGTAGCTCGCGGCCTGACGCGCATTGCCGACGTACCAGCCGATATGGTCGAAGCCGGAATATTAAAGACCAAGGTTAGGTGACAGAGGCACCGGAGATTCCATGGCAATGGCAATGCACACAGCCCTTCTGCAGAATTTGGATAATATAGTCCTTTACTATATCGGAAATGCAAGGTTATCTGTGAGATACTACTGAGCATACTAGGATCTAACTTATACTTACGCGGCGCTGTTTGCAATTCGACAAAAGTTCTAGAAGCTGAGGAGATATGTTCAATCGGAGGCTCCGCTGGGATTACACGCGCCATTTAGAGCATATTGGGCTAGAATCTGCGAGGACAGTAGGTATTCAAACATTGGATAAGCTCGATAGTGCCTGGACTTCAGTCATCTATGCAGGTGGCCCATTCTGGAGAATTGATATACCATTCACATTAGTTCCGATGCAAATGACCATCATTCACTCATATTTCATGCCTGTCTGCGTCACGAAGGCGCTCAAAGTTCCTGCAGGAAGAACAAGTTTTACCATGCCGAGCTCTGATCTGACCTATGCTATTCCATTGAGTGGTGGCCATCAGGCCCGTCTCGCCATGGCTAACGCAATTCTCGGCTTCACCGAAAGGCTAGATTAGTCGAATGTCTCTGCTGTCACAGTCAGACAAGCATTCGTGCGTATGGCTGTAACGTATATCTTGTTTTCCTTTACAACGACAGAGACAAATCCTCCAATGATGGGCAATATCAGGCCATAGCTCTATTGGCGTTTCAGTAAGGCAATCGTACTCTTAGGTCTAGAACTCCCAATGCTGGGCCAGCTTACTGTTGGTGGTACTGGTGAGGCAAGAACCAATTGTTTTTGGCAATCTATATATCTATCGTACGAACTTCTGAGCATTGTACTGATCCTATCTATCTTACGCCTCTCAAGACATAGTCCATAGGCCTTCTATTCTATATCAGGTAAGTATGCCTAACATTTGCATCTCAGATAAAAAGTGTACTTTCTATAGTTAGCCTTTAGCATATTGCCAAGCTGATACTAAGTATGGGATACAAAACTTTTGCCCAAAGCAGTCAGCCGTACTGTTGAAAAGTTTGCTACAGGAAACCCATATCTGAAAGTACTATGATTATGCCAAGAATGCCGGCTGAAATTGCAAGGGATTCAATATGGGTCAGCTGGAACATAGATAAAGTGTCTGATTGCTACACCTCCAGCTATGCAGGCATAATAGGTGGCTTGCCAAGTTCCGGGGCTGAAATGGCCATTCCCGAACAGGGTGGCAGACTGGGCGTAAGTGGAGATTCTCTGTGGTTGTAGTGGAAAGCCAAACGCCAGAGCCCACGGAATAGTCCCAGGCTGATATTGGACTTAAAGCTTCGTTACTGTTAGACAGTCCTCAATCGTAGTCTGCTTCCAAGAATAACTGTATATTGTCCAGATGGAGGCTGAATACAGACGCATTGAGGCCGAACGTGTTGATGCCAAGGATTGGAAGCGTAAGGTCCCTACCTGACTTGACAGATCTACCACTGACCATGGCATGTATAGATATTTTTAGTCGAGAATGTGCATCTAGGAAGGTTTGCTCGAGTCTATTCGGGTCGAGTTGGGATGTTGGCTTATCATATTTAGACATCCATTATGCAGGGAATGCATCACACCCTGCGGTGGCCTGGTACTATCTTGATACACTGTGATGAGGAGAGGTGCTAACTGTTCTCAATGCTAGGCATACGATCCCTTGGGCCTGGGGCTCCTGCTGCGGAATACTTTCCCTTCCATGGCATGCGCTTCACTGTCCCATCGATGGGCGACCGGCCGGGTCTCCATAACGTCTCTGCAGGATCCCATGACAGACAACATGGGCTCAGCACGTTTGATATCTCACTGGCGTTACAGTATGGTCAGGGAAGAGGTTCAGCGCAGCTGATAGAGTTTATATCGGAGCATGTAAAGGTCAGTATTGCGATCGCTGGTGACAAGAAATATGTTAACACATCCCAGCTCTCCCATGACCCACCGTACAAAGACTGGTCCTGCGTTCTAACAGCGGGGAACACATCGGCGCTTGACATAGCACTCCGCATGTTTGGGGAACCGGGTAATCATATCCTGATCGAAGAGTACGCATATCCTGTAATTTTCGAAGCTGGGACACCTCTCAGCTATCACTTCGTCAGCGTCAAAATGGATTCACTTGGCCTGCTTCCGCGGGAGTTAGACACGATTCTATCGGAATGGGATGAGGGAGCGCGAGGTAGCACAAAGCCTCACCTGCTTTACGTGGTCTCAACGGGTCAAAACCCGACCGGGGCAACTACTACTCTGGATCGCAAACTAGACATCTATCGAGTCATGCAGAAACACAATATCTATATACTTGAAGATGATCCTTATTACTTCATTCAAATGTCGCAATATACTAGATTAGGTGATAGAATGGCTCTCACCGAGGCTCGCCGTCGTCCGTCCCCGGCCTCGATTGAAGAGTTCATCGAAGGCCTTGTTCCCAACTATTTGCATATCGATGTCGATGGGCGGGTCTTCCGAATGCATTCATTCTCGAAGATCATAGCTCCAGGTGCGAGGATGGGGTGGCTCACTGCTTCCAGGCAGGTAACGGAGAGAGTCGTCCGCATCCATGAAACCTCCGTCCAGAATCCCAGTGGATTCTCACAGCTCGCTTTGTTCAAACTTCTACATGATGACTGGGGTAGTATCGGCTTCATGAAATGGCTCTGGCATCTACAATCCGAATACACAAGGAGACGCAACGCTCTACTCGACGCAATAGAGCTCCACCTCCCAAAGGCGATTGTTACTTATGTCGCACCAACGTCCGGCTTCTTTGTAAGTATCCTTCTGGGTATAGCAGTACGTACAATTCATGTACCCCTGACAATAGCTTTCTAGGTGTGGATTTCACTTGATTGGCGAAAGCATCCCGATGCTATGGCCAAATCGGCCCGAGTAATCGAGCAAGAGCTGTACGACGGCGCTATCGAATGCGGAACCTTGGTTGTTCCTGGTAGGTGGTTTATTGTGGAGGAGAGCCGGGACAGCATGCAAGAGGTTCATTTTCGCTTGACCTTTGCTGCTGTCCCCGTTGATGTGATCGAGGAGGCTATTGAATGTCTGGCGTTGGCGATTAAAAGGGCTTTTGGGTTTGTTGCCGTGGCCTAGTATTAACAGGGGCCTTGGTTCATTCAGTATCAAGACAACCATATTCTTCTCTTTGAATCACCCCCAGTATTCAGACGTTTCATATATCGATTACTACATATATCTCACAGGGGTATGCTGTGTAGTGCAAGGAAGATTCCTAGGTATGGCTCAATTTGTACATTCAACAACCTTCACCCTTTTTGTTTTCACAGTGGTCCCTTCAACCCATACTTTAGTTATAATGTTGTTCTTGGAGTCTAACAGCTCAGCCTCTGGTCTCAGCCTGAACAGGTCCATGTTCAAGGGAACCTCAGGTCCTAGCCATGCAAACCGTTGGATATGGTCCCTCAGTTCGTCGTCTGTATTGGGGTGTATGAGGGCGCTGAGAGGACCGCGGTTGATAACTAACCAGCTAACGAATGCACCAAATTGAGTGGGTGTGAACAGGGCAACCTCGAACATGCCAGCTCTATGTGGGCCACTCGGCTTGTATTGAATGGGATAAAGACGGATCTCGGGAACTAGCCTGTTAAGTATGGTTATTCGACGTTATTTATGGACAATGTATACGTACATTCCAGATCGATTCTTTTCCAGAGCTGAGCCGCGAAATTTGATTGGAAGTCATTTGTCTATTTCAAGTGTCATGACAGGGTTCTAAAGCGGCTATCCATAAACTTATTACCGTGTCAAAATAAATATGGACATCGAATCCAGGGAGCTGGGTGTCGCCTCGTCCGCCATTTGATATGGGTAAGGTGAAGCGATCATAAGCTTCACTCAGAGGACGAGCGTCTCCATCGTCACGGACTTTGTCTTCGAGGTTTGAGCCTCTTGCATTACATCAGCCACGCCTCGCTATTACGTTTAGTGCCAGGGTAACTAACTTTGTACCCAGTGAACTTTTCCAGCCCTTCAGCGGGCTGTCGTAGGAGTATTGACCTGAGTCGAGATTATAGGGCAAGACATTGTTCATGATAGTACCTTCGGTGCGCAATGTGTCAACCGATTTGGTGTCGGATACAACCTTCCTGAAACAATGGTGTAGTTTCGCCTACTTGAGTACTTACGCAAAGGATCACCGTCCCTTCTCCAACACCGCCCAAGGTCAGTCACTGCGCCTTCTTACTTATCACGTCAGACCAGAGCCACTCCAGCCAAGGCCAATACCAACTTTCGATCGTTCTGGAATCCCCATTATTGGCGAGTAAGAATCTGGAGGCACGAGAGCATTCCCAACGAGGCTACGCCTGTACGAGAGGGCCTACGTATGCACATGGGCCAAAATCAAATTCATAACTCTTCCTGCGGTCTGGTTGGTAATCTGGCATCACACGATGCCTTGCTTACAGCTCCACCAAGAAATAGAAAGGCTATCGTTGCTTAAAATGACTAGATATGCTTTAGCACTATAGCCCGGCATAAATGCTGTCAGAAACGCCACATACTATCCGCGCTAGCCTAGGAAAACAAAGGTCGAGCTGTGTGAAAACCAAAAGGGGCAATGCCATGGCCGTCACAGATTGCCCCGTAATATGGCGTCCCACATTTCTGCGATCGTTCCCAGTTCCTTTCCTCTTGCGTGGTAATCGAACTCTACGTTTATCCACAAGCTGATCAAAGACAATGGAAAATAAGTATGATATTGTCATTGTCGGTGCAGGCCCCGTAGGGCTGATGCTCTCTGCCTGTCTTCTTCGTCTCGGGCCTTACAAAATCAAACACATTGATGACCGCGCGGAGCCGACCAATGTTGGGCGTGCCGATGGCGTCCAAGCCCGAACCCTAGATGTGCTTGAGGATCTAGGGTTGAAAGACAAGATTATGTCCCATAAGCCCGCGCTTCTCAGCGAGGTTGCATTTTGGAACGCATCCAAGACCGGTCAAGGCATTTGCCGCACAGGGAAATCTACGGGATATCCAGCTTTTATCCGCACGCGTCATCCCTTTACCACGATTCTTCATCAAGGGAAACTTGAGCGTATCTTTCTTGATGATCTCAAAGACGGGAATGTCGAGGTTCAACGGCCGTGGACGATAGAAGCTGTTCGAATAGACATGTCTAATTCCGAATATCCTGTGGAGACAGAAGTTGCCACTGTAGATGGCTGCCAGAGAACAACGGTAAGATCAAAGTATGTCTTCGGGGCAGATGGGGCGCGCAGCAGAGTTAGAGAGCTCCTGGGTATCCCCATGGTTTATAAGGACCCCACAATACATATTTGGGGCGTTATCGACGGGGTCATTGAGAGCGACTTCCCAGATATCCAGGTAAGGTCTTTCATCTTGTAGCAGGACTATATGACCACTCTCATTAACCAGGTATGGCAAGATCAAATGTACGATCCGTTCTGACGCCGGGTCTGCCATGATCATCCCTCAGACCGGAGACCGAGTTCGTGTTTACGTCCAACTCTCCCCAAGACCTGAGCAGGACCTTCCAACCCTTGCATCTCAATCTGAAATCCAAGAAACGGCACGTAGCATCCTCTCTCCCTACTGTATTCGATGGAAATGTGTCGACTGGCACTCCATGTATCGAATCGGACAAGGGGTCGCCACCACCTATGCTGTGAAACAGCACATTTTTATCGGCGGCGATGCATGTCACACGCATAGCGTATGGGATATCCTTCTCCTCGCCCCAGCTAATTATGCCTTACTAACCGTGAATGCAGCCGAAAGCAGGCCAGGGGATGAACTATGGCTTTCTAGATGCACACAATCTTGCGTGGAAACTTCACCTTGTGGAAACTGGCTTTATGCAGCGAACCCTCCTATAGACATACGAAGACGAACGTAAACAGGCTGCCAGCAGATTAATCGAGTTTGACGCAACCTACGCTGGTCTCTTCAGCAGCCAGCAGGTCTCCAACGAGGTGGCCCATCGTACAGAGTTTATGCGCGTGTTCAAGCAAAACTGTCTCTTGACCAGCGGATACGGGGTGTCCTATCCGCCGAACTCCTTGATTTGTCCCCCGGCTAAACAAGACAGAGCCACGTCTATTTCAGTGAGCTGCATTCCGGGACAGATATTCCCCCTTGCCACTGTGACCAGAGTTCATGATGCCCGTGTTGTAAATCTGGAGCAAGAAATATCTTTCAATGGCAGCTTTCGCATTTACGTCTTTGCCGGCAAGCCGTCTGCTACCCGCCAAGTGATTAACGAATTGGCCGAAAACCAGGCATCAAAAGCCTCCCAGCTTTTGCAGAACATTGGTCACGCGTATGTGAGGGAGAGCAATAGTTATTCTCCGTTCTTTGCGTATTTTTTCATTTTCAATGCGTGTCGGTCATTGCTCGCTCCTGAGACCTGTCTACCCAGTTATTTTCTCCCTTACCAGCACCATCTCTACGCTGATGAACAGCCTACCATGGAGATTGCGGGGGCAGCCCATCTAGGTATGGGAATCGACCCGACCGAAGGAGGGTTGGTAGTAGTTCGGCCCGATGGGTACATCGGCTGCGTCTCGCCTCTTACCGCCGGCTTCGGGGCAGTGGCAGCATTAAACCAGCACTTTGAGAGGATCCATGGGCATATATCTAATGCTTAACTGATAACTACATTCGTCACAATATCGAATCGCTCATTAAAGGCTTGCCAACTGAGTTTCGGTTCTATATCATAGTAGAAATCCCATCCATTTAGTGTGGTAAAGTAATTGAAAATGCAACCCCAAAAACGCTTTTGGCCTGGCAGTTTGCTTGACACAGGTTTTCGAAACAGGTACCGGTGCGGCCTTCAACCTGCCGAAGTATATATCCAAAGCATCGATACAATTGCCCCGTGGTCTAACTTATGTTTGAAGAGGTGGACTTGGCATCTCACCAAACCGTGATCCAGGTACAGCCATAGAATAGCATGTGCTGGGTAAATACCTCTGACCGGCTACAGCCTAAAGAAGCCATGACCATTGACTTAATCCTAAGTCCTACCAATAATCGCCTACTAATCCCTATGGCCGTCAATAGGAAGATCCCATCGATGGTTCGGAGGGCCACTTTCATCTACTAGAGGATGTGACCCCAGCCTATGTGGAACCGGCTCCTGTGCGGATACGAATACTGGGCTTGGCATGTTTTACCTGGATCTGGTATACAACATACCCTTCCAGATAGTTGAAGGACAGGATGTCGATACGCTGTACCTATATAAGGAGTAGCTGTAGTAAGGTATGGCAGCTTCAAATCGCCTTCATTGATTCACTCTACGCAGATAGCACTATGTCGACCACAAGTCAACCTCCCACGCCGAGCATTATCACAGCACCATGTACCCTTCAGACATGTCCCCTTGACTGGGCTTTTATTCGATACATTCCTAGTCTACCAGGGAATGCTCTCTTCCTCGCTCTGTTCGTCACAATGCTTCTAGCTCAGGTATTTTGCGGAACTCGTTATCGTACTTGGAGCTACCTAGCCACTATGTCGGGTGGGGTACTGCTCGAAATAATCGGTTATGGAGGACGACTAATGTTGCACTCGAATCCATTCGATTTTTCTGCCTTCTTGCAGTAAGCTAAACTACTCAAAGATAAACATGTGTTGTTGACTAATTCTGACAGATACCTCATTTGTCTTACCATCGGACCAGCTTTTATAACGGCCGCCATTTACATATGTTTCGCGCGAGTGATCATCGTCTACGGTGCTAGCATCTCAAGAATCAAACCCAAGACTTACGCAAGAATATTCGTGACCTGTGACCTGATTTGCCTCGTCCTACAGGCCGCTGGGGGAGCCATAACGGCCACGGCTGGTCAAGAACAAGACGGACTGCGGCATACAGGTATCAACATTATGATTGCCGGCTTAGCAAGCCAGGTCGTAGCGTTAGGATCATTTATGATCCTGTGCGGCGACTATGTATGGAGGCTGCAGCGCCATGTCCGGGTGGTTCCTCAATCAATCGATGGTGATTGGAAATGGAAAGGCTTTCTCATAGGTACGGTCTATCCTCTTAGTCCTAGGGTCATGGTCAAAAATAGCTAATGGCTCTATTAGGTTTGGCTATAGCAACACTTACAATTTTCATACGGTCGATCTTCCGCGTCGCAGAACTAAATGGTGGATTTAGTAGCGACCTGGCAAATGATGAAGTGGCTTTCATGATTCTCGAAGGCGCTATGATGGTTATTGCTTGTGCGTGCATGAGTGCGTTTCATCCAGGATACTCTCTCGTTGGAAACTGGAAGGACCTTGTCTCCCCTTTGGTCAAAGCAAGAGAGATCGACGACTTGGCGTTGACTGCGATATCAGACTCGGGAAAGCCTTAGCACAGCGCGTGGGTGGGTCTCTATCTAGCTGGATTTGGCTTTTATCCTTGATAAGGCTTGTTTCATTTTGGGGGGAGTGGTTTACGGTGCTTTATTGGCCAGATTTGTCTACTGAGTAACTTGGTCTCAGGGCCGGACTTTGGTAGTTCCAATTAGAAAGAAAGTGGCTTCGTATAGAAACTAATTTTAGCTGCACTGGGTCCTAACGGTCCACCTCTGGGCAAGGTAGTGTCTTAGTAGCCTTGGGCTAAAACCAGCACAATTGAATCATAGAATGCCAAGCCCTCTCTCCGTTATACCGATTGGCTACATCGTATTCAGGTTCTAAAAAAGGGAAAGTCTATCATGCTGTAGCTCAAGTTGTATGCCAAGAGTGTTACCAAAAGGGCGTGGTTGTTCTACTTGGAAGAGAACTCAGCTCGCATATCTATTAAGCTTTCTGTCTTGTACATTCCAGCAAAAAGGTACAATGAATGATAGAGGCAAGGTGCGAGACCTACTAATCATACAACATAATTCGCGATAAACCATAAACTATTCCCTTGCTGTAAGCCGAAGTCACCAGAAATGGCACGGAAATCACACACCAAATCCCGAACCGGTTGCCGCACCTGCAAGTACGGACTTCTCCTTGCTGGGGCCCCAAGATTTAGATGCTAACATGATTGAAGGGCTCGCCGAATCCGATGTGACGAATCCTGGCCGGCCTGTAAGCGGTGCACCTCTACAGGTCGTCGCTGCGATGGGCCCTCGAAAGCAGGAACGAATGTAACAGTCTCTTTTGCCCATGTGTTGACGATTCCGACAATGAAAAGATCACTAGCGACATTAGTCTACGAGAACGATCAAGAAGCTAGATATGTCGCACATTTTCTGGATCGCATTACGTTCAACCCTCCAAGCAAATCCTATATAGCGCCGTGGCGAACTCTAATGATTCAAGGGGTACTTGGTGATGCAGCTATTCGTCAATGTGCCGTTGCAATGAGTGTACTTATGCTGGAGGCAGATTTCAAGCTTCAATCTACGACATGTCTTCCGTCTTCTCCGTATGATGATGCCAGACATAAACTCGCATTAAAGAAATATGGGAAAGCCTTGTCTTCTGTGCGAGAGCTACTGTCTCATAGTGATCCACAGTCGGTTCAAGCTGCTTTGCTATGTGGTATCATTTGTATCTGGTTCGAAGTCCTAATTAAGGATCATCTAAGTGCTTTAAGTCACCTTGACCGGTGTCTGAGTATAGTTCAGATGTCACGGTTCCGGGGTAGAGGTATGTCGGGAACCTGGCTGGGAGCGTCACTCGTGCTAATTCCTTCATTGTCTGCTCAGGAGAAATCGACGTTGATATCAAAGAAGCCTATGTAAAACTTGACATACAAGCGGCAGTTCATGTTGGTGCATGGTCGCCTGTTCTTCTCGTCAAAAAGACAAAGTCAATCCCATATATATTCGACACATTTGAAGCAGCCGAGCAGATGTTCAATGCAGAGTATGCTAATCTCATATACCTTTCACGCAGGCTGACTTCAACATATCGCTACCACCAGCCAGATGGAATTCCCCTAGAGCTGCTCGCAAATGCCCAGTTATTGCAGGAACACCTGGAACAATGGAACTCGACCTTCAATTCTTCTTATTCCTGTCAGAAGGCACAAGGAGATCCCCGCATGACTTCACAGGTGTGCCTACTGTTGATCCACTATCACATGGCCGTCATAACCGCCTCAACATGTCTATACGCCGAGGAAATGATCTACGATCGGTTCTTGCCTAATTTTAATTATATGATACGCCTCGCAGATAAGCTAGTATCGTGGTGGCACAATCAACCTGCAGGAAGCACTCTAGGAGTTCCCGTGGACATGGGCGTCGTTCAACCTCTGTACATGATTGCCACTAAGTGTCGGACCACCTCGCTTCGTCAGAAGGCGATTCGCATGCTGCTTGCAATGCCAAATAACGAGGGAGTGTGGGAAGGTCCCATCGTGGCTTCGGTGGCACAGAGAGCAAAAGATATCGAGGAGCTGGGGTTGGACGTTGAGAGAGATGGTGTGCCTGAATTCCGCAGGATACATGCAATTGGGTTTGAGGTTGCTCAGGGAACTGGCCGGGTCCATGTAGAATTCCGCAGACGTCCAAATGGGATGGATGGCGAGTGGGAGTGGTGGAAAGAATGTCTATCTTATTGAATATCGTCATGAGTGTGCTCTTGACGCAATATGGTATCTTTACAACCACAGGTGCATACAGACCCATCTGGTACAGATCTCTCATCTCTTCCTTCAATTCCTCTCCGCATTTGTACTTATATACTCTATCCTTGGCCTCAAGGTAACTTCCCAGGTCCAGGCTTCTTTCATGAATTATTCTATTATACAGACCAGTCAGTTGGCATAGGTTTCCTAAGGCCAGGTGGGAGGTTGAATAATTACGACCAAATCATTGACAGTATCGCCCATGAAGTTCACTTGCCGAGTCTTGAGTAATGTGCACTCTCCGGATTCATGGCGAAAGGGGAGTCCATTCTACTCTTTCTCCAGAAACATTCCAACATCCTCTCTTTCACGTTGCAAGCGTGTAATTTGACCACTGGCTCATGGACACCGATATTTGCTCATCTGGACCAGTCGACGCCAGAGCTAGAAAACCTCAACCTCTCGACCCTATGTGGAAACCATATGCAGAATTTCCAGTATGCACCTAGGGTTGCTCACGTCGGTTCAAATGAGACAGAGCAACAGCAAGACGAGGGCAAGGAGGAAGTCGATGGGTTGGTGAATCTACAACCAATTTGGGAGACTGATCAGCCACCGCGTTGAACAAGCTTCTCAGCTCATGGAGGGAAATATGTGCACACCAGGAGCTTCACCCGCGAAGAATCAAAGAAAGGACTTGTGTTCCAGCCACTAAGACCGGATGGGGGACGAGCTAGAGGCTCTATGGAGCGTATGCTGTGGAGGAAGACTCGGACTGCGCTATATGAGCCTCCATAGTGCTCTGTCCTCTTGTCATCAAATATTTTTGAGGCCGAGTATTAGAGTCCCTGACTGTGGGAAAGTTCCTCAGAGAGAGGGGTTTGATTATTAACACCTATTCCAAATTCTCGATAGATAGATAAGAAGGACAGACGAGAGATGCCTATAACGCCAGACTGGTGGTATTTTGGTGTTCCAGCAATAGATTATATCAGGAAAAAGCCACCCTAAATGAGTAGATATAATAATGAAACGGACTTGTCACGAATGCTACATGGAGAGCGATTCAGGAGCTTATATAATAATCGACACCACAAACGGCCCAGCACCGCTAAGACACTCACCACTAAACCTGGACGAGTTAGACTAGTTCAATCGAGCTCTTGAAAACAGGTTTGGTTAGGCCGACATCGCCCCAAGCTATCATATCAGGTGCCGCCAAGTGGAACGTCCACCGTAACTATTATCAGTTGTTCCCGCCAGATATCCCTCCCTTCCTGCTCCAGGACAGTATAGAAATCGATATGGACGAAGACAAGCCCCACTACGTCTATTCGCACATTGAGCCCGATGAGTTCCGCGTCCTCAAGATTATTGAGGTACATCCCCAGATTCGGTTCACTCTAGAAACGTTCTCCATTTACGAGGCCCCGGGATATGAGGCCCTGTCGTATGCATGGGGTACCTCCCCGGAAATGGAAGAGGGCGTTTGTAACGGTGCGCACTTCCGTATTTCGCGGACTCTGGGTCAAGCACTGCGCGGACTCCACGCACATTCTGGAGGCGGATGGATATGGGTGGACGCCATCTGTATCAATCAGACCGACGCAGAGGAGAAGGCGCACCAGGTCGCGGGAATGGGAGAGCTCTATTCCTGCGCGGATCAGGTCCTAATCTGGCTAGGAGATGCAGCTGACCAGAGCGATCTGGCGTGTTCGCTGTTGCCTGAACTTACGGAAAGGATTTGGTCATTGAAGGAGAGCGATGGAGGTTGGAGACCGCTAAGCACGGACGATATCGTAAAGCACGGACTTCCGCATCCCGAGGATCTGCTCTGGCATGCCGCGTTGTTACTCTATAGTCGGGCCTGGTTCCAGCGACTCTGGATTGTTCAGGAGGTCGTCCTGGCGCGCGCGTGTATATTTCTATGCGGCACGCGGCTGATTGAATGGCATGTTCTCGTGAATTTTGCCATCGCGACGTCAAGATCTTTCTTCATCAGCAATATCGCCGGCTTACACGTTAAGGCTATAGGTGAGCATCAGATGAAACGGTCGACGAACGGCATCAGACTCATCCGGAACGCATACCGGTTGAAGACAGGGTTGGAGCAGGTTGAAAAGGAGATAGATGGTCTCCAAGCGACAATGGACATCATGCAGAGTCAGGGTGCATCCGTGAAGCTGGACTATGTCTATGCGGTTCGAGACATGCTTCCAGACGCCCTGCGTGAGAAGGTGGCGGTCGATTACTCCGAGGATGCTAAGCATAACTACGGAATGATTCATGCCAGGTTTTTCCGGCAATGCTTAAAGAGGGTCGGAGATTGGCCATCATTACGTTTCCCTCCAAAGATGGACCGTGATAATATCCCTTCATGGTGTCCCCCTTGGGGCAGCGGCTGGAATGACGGCTATCTGCCCGTCGTGGGCTGTAGAGCTGGGAGACCAGCTGCAACGTCCCTCCCATCGTCGTCATGTAGCCTATCCCTTACGGCCAGTGATAATGATGACGGGATTCTGTGTATTGCTGGCATGTCTGTGGATACGGTCGGAGAGATTGTTCCGCTCAGCCTGGTATTCGACGAGAGCTCAAGCGTTCTATACGCACGTCGAGTCTTGACAGCCCTCAAGGACTGTTCGGCCCACATTCTCGACGGCCCAGACGTCCACCAACGCCTCTTGGGCGTTCTAATCGGACAGTGTGGCTGGCTCGAGTCACCCCAATTCTCTCAGTGCCCAGACCACGATATTCTAAACAGTTTGATCACATTCCTGGAGCATCTTTCACAAAACGAAGAGCATGAACGTCAGGCCGATTCAGGTCTTGCTGACCTAGACACGGTTGAATACGTTCTTGGCCAGCATCGGTTCTGGCGCAGCTATCTCAATCTCATAATGTTTCGATGGCCAGGTAGAAGTTTTGCTTTTACCACAAACGGCCGTATGGCGATCGTACCATGTCACACCAAGCCTGGAGATACCGTGTGTGTCTTCCTGGGAGGTACACTTCCGCAGGTTGTTACTCGGCACGATGACGGCGAGCACTGGATATATATCGGGCCTAGTGTTGTTGACGGCATCATGGAAGGTGAGATCTTTGATATCGGGGAGAATTGGATGAAAAAGAAGGAGGTGTTCTGCTTGAAGTAGTATCTGGATGTCGTTCAAGAGTCTTAGTTGGAGGTCGAAAATGATGCAATATCCTCGGGTTGCCCCTTCGGAACTTAGAGACTTCAAGACTATTACCGTACATAGCTCATCGCTCACGGAGAGAGGAAGATATATATAAGCCATGGTTAAACCCTATCTATCTATATACTTTGTGTTCAATAGTCTGTCGAGTTTAAAGGAACCCTCCAATATAACACTGGATTAAATTTTTTAATTGGCGGCCACCGAAGAGCGTAGGTAGTATTAATTATTTTATTGCAGTTAGTTAACTCTGTTTATTTCCCATCCAATACCACGTGCCTTCCCTAATGGCCAACCCGGTGATAAGTTAGTAGCCAATTATTGTCGAGATGATATATATCTTGAGAATTCTTGGAAGCTTTTACGGAAATTCACATGAAACTCTAACCGGCCCTCGCTATAGGTAAGTACCGCCACTTTTCAATTTTGCTTTGTTATTTATGGAGATATTCACTTCCAGAAGAGACGTACCTCCCGTCATGCCCAAGTGACGTTCGCCAAATTGACGCTAAATCTATTTTTGTATACAAATCACGTGTATTTGTGTATATGCTTAGTCAGTTAGTGTGACATTGTGCAACTCAATGCTAAGGCTCTCACGATAGATGCCTTGCGTTTTGTTTATTTAAAGCCGTCGTATCCCCGGCATTTGGGTTAACCATTCTCGAACATTGCCTTGACTACTTTCCTTACTTTTTCTCAACTATTATTGTTTCCTCCTGGCCATATCCATATCTATGTTCTCTTTGTCTCCCAACCATGGCTGATATCCATCAGCTGGAGATCCAGATCTCCAGCCTCCCCACCAAATCAGTAATAATCACCCCTCAAAGGGCCACGATCACCCGTGAGATTCACACGATTATCCATGTAAGTATCGTAATTCGTACCTCCTTATGATATATACTAAGACATGTACCAGCCAGGCCAAAATGCAATCACAATCCTAGGCTTAGACCCCAACGTGGACCTGGACTCCGTCCAAATCGACGGCTCCGGTCCAGCCACAATAACAGACATGCAAACCGATGTCGTACCCCGGCGGGAAAAGTTCAACGACGTCTATCCTGACCTCACAGTCGATGAGGATAGTGATATTGATCAGGATATGACGACCGACGAAGAAGGTATTGATGTCGATGACTCAGCCCTTCAGGCTATCCTTAAAGAAGAGCAGAGCTTAAACACCTCTCTTGCCAAGGCGCAAGATGATAAGTCTGCGTCACTGTTTGTGTTGCAGTTTCTTGTCGGCTATGGCAAGAGTATTGAGTCGACTAATTCTGATCCGGCAAAGTTGAATGATTTTCTGCAGATGTATCTTCAGCAGAGGAAGACAGAGGGGGATCGGGCGAGGGATACGGAGGTGAAGATTGCGGATGGGGAAAAGGCGCTGGAGAGGGTTAAGCGGAAGAGGGAGAGGTTGGAGTCGGCCCATACTAAGGCGAAGGAGGCTGCGTTGAAAGAGGTTCGGCATGGTCGTGAGAAACGAGTGAGGGAACGACAGGAACGACGCGCTCAGCAGAAACGGGATATAAATGAGAAGAAACTTTTTTGGACGGACCGCGTCGGACAAGTCAAGGTCTATCTTGATGGGCATGTGGCGGGCACTCCGGGGTCTAGTCGGCGGAGCTCGGTAACTGAGAATGTCACGTATGGTGGCCAGCCGATTGAAGTCACCATGAACCTGACGTATATCGTTCCTGGTCCGAACTGGGTGCCTCGGTATAACTTGAAGATCAATACCCCAGCGTCCGCCGCATCACTGGTCTACAACGCAGACTTCCAGAATAAGAGTTCAGAGACGTGGAAAGACGCTAAAATCACCCTTTCCACGTCCCATGCAGCTTTCTCAGGCCTTGATGAACCAATTCCCATTCTCCAGCCCTGGCATGTTACAACCTGCTCGATCGAGGATCCTAAATCAATTTCATGGCAGGACGTTTTACGAAGTCCAGCTGAGATAAAGCCCACCGCTATGGCGACCACCACATATCCGTATGCCGCAGCCGTTGATGCCCAATTACGCGCTCGTGCGCACATTATGGCCAGCGCACGAAGTGTGCAAGAATCCGGTACAGCTCCAAACGCGCAACAGATGCAACAACAGCAGATGCAGCAACAAGCCCTGCAACAACAAGCTATGGCACAACAATCAATGGCACAACAAGCCCCAGTAGCGATGCATGGGGTAGGGGCACGCCGGGGAGCGCCCCCAGCACGGCGCGATTCTCGTCATTCATGGGTCCCATCAGCCCGGAGAGCACTAGGATGGGGCACTAGTGAGGACAATGAGGATAATGAGGAAGGCGATGACAGCGACAGTGACACCCAAACGATTGCATCACCTAGCCTAGAACGACAAGACTCGGTTCCGCAAAACTACGGTCTGACCACAACGTATGAGCTTTCTGGTCTCCGCACCCTTGCTCCCTCCACTAGTCATCGGCGCCATCTTATTGCTCAGTCGACCCTGCAATCCTTAACCCTCACGCATGTGATTGTTCCTAAGATACGGGCCGCTGCTTTTCTTCGTGCTCGAGTTAAGAATACTTCGTCGGTCAATATCCTGCGTGGGAAGACTGGTATATCTGTTGATGGGACCTTCTTGGGGACGTCTACACTGCCGAGTTGTGTACCGAATGACTTCTTCAATATTTCCCTTGGCGTTGACCCGAATGTTCTGGTGACATATGCCAAGCCCACGGTCCGCAAGCTTTCTTCTGGATATATCAGTAAGGAAAAAGTTGCAGTATTTCGTCGAAGTTGTTGGGTGAAGAATTCGAAGAGCACAGCGATTGATATGATCGTTTCGGATCAGATACCGGTCAAGGATAATGAACAGATGCGGATCCAGGTGCTAGAGCCAAAGGGCTTGGAGAAGGAAGGCAGTGAGGTGGACATGGCGCTGGAAAGGGATAGGGGGAAAGGCAAAGCAGTCATGATGAGGAATGGTGAGGTCAAGTGGTTTATTAGATTGGAGCCTGGCAAGGATGTTCGGATGGTGTTGGAATATCACGCTAAGGTGCCGGATGGAAATGCGGTGATTACGGCTACTTGAATTTATTTGCTCTTGCTGATTGAAGGTATATGTGGTGAAATCGTCTGTTGCTCTCGGATATTTACCTTACTCGTCTTAGTCCATTAGTTTGAGCTATATGAGCTCATGTTACATCTTGAATACTAATGATAATGACATATTTACATAATTTGTAGCCATACATACAAAAGAAAAGGCGCCGGTGATATACACAAATTGCTTTAAAACAAGCACCTCAATCCCCTCCACCTAGGTTCATTGCTGCACTAATACAAGCCAGATGGCTAAACGCTTGCGGAGTGTTACCTATCTGCTCGCCAGAGATGGCCACCTCCTCCGAGAACATTCCCAGGTGGTTCGCGAACGAAAGCATATTGTCAAAATGTGTGATCGCCAACTTTCGCAGCTGCCGGTAGAACGGATCATCGACATTGTAGGACATTGCTTTCGAGGCCTGGTTTAGTTAGCTACTATACTTCTACAAGCTACAAGCGAGGGAGTACTAACACGCATCATAGCTTCGACTAGCCAAAAGGTCACCATCACGAAAGCGCCCTCACGACCTCCGACGCCTGCCATCGCTCGGTTAGTTAAGATGTCCATGATATTCAGTAAATTTGAGGATCATACCATCATCAACCTTGGTATGATCGTATCGAGAGACCATGTTCGCCATCAACAGTCCTCCCTTAGCTTGGGGTAGCATGACTCTCTTCAGTGTATTCAGGAACCTAGGATCATTAGGGGCAATGAAGAAGACAAGTGGGGCAATCAGAACAGCTGCATCCAAGATATCCGGACTTTCGTAACTCATGCAGAAATAGTTGTCTTTGAAGTTGTATCCCTTCGTCATTATCTCATCGTAGAGATCATCTCGGGCACGTAGCCACTCGATCCGATCCGGACATGGTAAATTCGACCGTTTTTCCGCCAATCGCAGGGCTCGATCCAATGCAACCCAAAGCATTATCTTTGAATATACGAAGTTCTGCGGCCTCCCTCTTACCTCCCAGATTGATCTGTCCGTTTCATGAAGCACATCCATCACGTGGCTAGTCATCCGCCTTACCGCGAGCCATTGGTCATAGGAAATGGGACGGCCATGCTTATGGTAAAGGTAGACGCTATCCATGAGTTCTCCAAATATGTCTAACTGGGTGTGGCTGGCAGCTCCGTTCCCGATTCGTACCGGCTTACTACCCATGTATCCCTCCAAGTGATCCAGCTCCGACTCGGGGATCTCGTGCTCCCCATGGATCGTCACCATGATTGGAAGAAATGGTCTGTTAGTCTGGTGTTCGCCGTTTGCCGGTGGAAAAACACGGTCAAAGATGAAATTGATATATGACTCTGCCTCTTTGGGGTATCCATTCTTGAGGAAAACATAGACGACAAACGCAGCATCACGCACCCAAGAGTACCGGTAGTCCCAGTTCCGTGATCCACCGATGCTCTCTGGGAGGGAAAAGGTCGGGGATGCAACAATAGCACCAGTAGGCTTGTACGTGAGCAGTTTGAGTATCAGCAGACTTCTTTCCACTTGCTCACGGTAGTGACCTCGGAAGGTGCACTGGTTGATCCATGCAGCCCAAAATTCGGCAGTATCGTGCTCTATCGTGTATAAATAGGATTCTAGAGCATTAGCGCCCGGAAGAGCCTTTTCTCTGTCATGTAGCACAAACGTCGCAGATTGCCCTTCCAGCACTGTCATTTTCATAAAGACACCCGGTCCTTTCATTCCTGGTCTGTCCTGGGTCTCAAATGAGATTTTCGGGGTCTCACCCGAACCTTCAGCAGATGAATCGGGGCTAGTAAGGACACTGAGCTGCAGGCTCTGCGTAGCACTTTCGAATAGATACGCATTCACCCGATTGCCGGACTCACCACGAGTTACCCATCGACCGGTATGCTGCTCAAGCGCATAATTGAACGCAGGAAATACTTCGACTATCATATCCATTTGGCCACGGACGCATTCAACCTTCCTCACCACTCCCGATCGACATCCCTCCCCCTCAGTACCATCGGCAGCCGTATCACAGGAGCACCAGGTCGACGCGGAATCCGCCGGATGCGATGGCTTTTTGCTTGATACAGGGAAGTAATCAGATAGTGTGATCACCCCATCCTCATGGATCCATCTCGTCTCTAAAACGTTTGTACAGGCTCGATATCGTTGTTTGCTCATTGGTTTGATGTCTCCTGCCGGGCGGATAGTGAAATGGCCACCCTTGTTATTGTCCAAGATGCGGCAGAAGACGGACGGGGAGTCGAACGCCGGCCAGCACATAAAGTCAAGACCACCATTCTTGCTCACGAGAGCACAGGTGTGCATATCCCCGATGATGCCATAATCTTCAATGCTGCAGTATTTTGGGGGTGTGGCGGCCATTTCCGCGGTATGGGGGTAGATGTCAAATATATAATTGGTGAGATATGTGTATGGCTTGGACTATGTCTGGTTTAAGGATAGCCACAATTGATCTTCTATGCAAACAATGTCCATATATTTCTGAATCTACTCCGGGGTATGTTTCAAGCTTTGTCTTTGTTCCTGTTGAAGGTTGTCCCCTATGACATCACTGGGACAGTCCCTACGAGGGGTCCCGTGACTCCGAAGTTATCACATAATCTGGCACGTGCCCTTATCTAAGAGAGGTAGAAGAACGAAACAAGATTTGTCTTAGTATTTGTGCTTTCCAGTTTTGTTAGTTTTTAATTTACCTTTGTTCACACTATGGTGATTGAGTCTCTAGATACGTATACGTTCTACCGAACCACAGCGATAGAGTACCGGGAAGTATCCCCACTCGTGTAAGAAGGAGGCGTCGAGTGTCCTTGGAATTCGAGGATCATGGCTTCAAGTCGACGTGGGTCTTTCGGGGGCAGATCAGGTTTTTACCTATGGTTTGGGATAATGCCACTGTTTGTGGCAATCCGCAGAACGAGGTTTAAGTGAATAAATCCACGTCAGCGATTTAATCGTAAATCTTGGGACTTCTATCTACTCCCGTACCAGGTCCGATTGTTTGTCGAGATAGCATGATGATGATGCGCAGTGTCGTTTTTAGACTTCCTTACGTCCCTACCCTTCGTTGATCATGTATGTTTGCTAAATCTAATGCATAATGTAGGGTTCTGAGCAGCGTAATTGGCAAGGATATAATATATTACGACGTATAGCTGGAGGTCCCCTGAATCTGTTTCCCCTGGCATCTGAGACTTGCGTAGCTGAACAAGTAACCACCTGTTCATCGGTGCCGGGCAATAGAGCACCGACCAATGATCAACCGCGCGATGTTCTGCAGATAGTGCAGTGAATTCTGGCAGACCCTCTGCCGTTTTCTTCGGGCTTACCGGATCCACGTACAGAGATCATCGGTGGGCCTGGGCCGTCCAAGCCAATGAATTATCGTCCGCTGAAGGGCAGGGTTCAATTACAGGTCAAGATCTCGAGCATGATGTTTGCAAACTATCGCAGAAGACCCATCATGCCGCACATGATGGTGGCAATCTGAGATTCCAACTACGATGAAGTCAAGTTACAAGTAGTGGTGACAGCTCTGACACGTCGGGAGCTACTGATTGTGGTTGACCCGTGGGCAGCAAAACAGAACTACCTATTTATTATAGATAGGGTTCTAGAATTTGTCGACAAGCGAGAAGGAGTCTTTATCGCAATGAGGGATTTCAGTGGTGGGTGGAGAACCGTAGTTTGGAGGGGTAAGGAATCTTACTACAAGTAAAGATATTTATGGCGATCGGCAACGGGATAATGGATTCTTGATAGCCGGGCTAACCATCCCTACTACACTGCGAAATCCATAGCTAAGGATAAAAATATGCTATTCCCGCACGGTGGGCGATGAGACATAAAAGAGAGATTGAACATCTACTCGTCCTCAAGTTCCTGGATGATTACCCCTCCTAGACCCTTGAGCTTCTCGATTGCGCCCGCGGTCAAGGGACTAAGATAGGTGGGGATTCAGCCACAGTTCGTAGTGTACATTTCCAGCTTGAAAATATCAGTAGCACTTACGGGGGGAAGCAAATAGGGGGTAGTGATTGAGCTGAGGGCCATGTATCTTCTCCGGTGTCTTCCCTGATTGTTCTGTGTATTCATGTTGGCTATAGTCAGCGTCGCCGAAAGAAAGAGACTCACTCGGTCACCTTCTTGTCTTGCTCGAAGAAGGCGTTTGGGTCTTCATAAGTGTATCGGATTTCCTGCCCAGTATTAAGCACCTGTTTTTCCCATTTCGAAATGACCAGTAGTTCTTCTGGACTTAACTTACCCTGCGGTCGGACATTGTGTAGAGAGGTTCAATGGGCAGAGTTGTGCTTTGATATAAGAAGAATTGTGAACTAGATGATTTGAGGGGAGTGCATCCTCCTTATGAATCTCATCCACAGTGGAACGGCAGATCGGGGCTGAAGCTGCCACGTGTATCGACGATCACTGGTCAGTATCATCGTAGCCACCGGAACAAAGTGGGGATTAACTCAATTCAATGGAAAATAAAAGCGCAGTCAATGATTAGAGAATTCCCCAGCAATATGTGCATTTCCTTTTATACAGGCAATGTAGTGATGGTCTGAGGAGGAAGATATTGCTGATTAAATCATTCCCAACTAGATCGCAAGTGTAGACGGACTGGATTGGGAGTCGTCAATCTTCCTTTAACAGGCTTCTAACCTGAAGCCTTCAACCCGGCACGGGTAGTAGTATCGTGATCATAACGAACCACTTAAATACTTTCAGCGGAAGGAATTGAAGCCCTTTGTACAAGGTGTATATCGTAGAGCGTTGCGTGATTTCCATATCGGGCATCCTATTTACGATCAAATGGCATATGGACACATATCAGAGCGAGGCGATATATGCCGAAAAGTCCATGAACATCGAGAGAACTCTGCGGCAAATGATATCGACCCACCGACAGAGACAATGAGGCTGCTTGAGTCCTCTCTTTAAATGCTTGGTTCAGTTCAAGTGCCATTCACTTCGCTGTTTCATCTCCTTGCGTTGCTATCAGTAGGGTTATATCCTCCATCAACGATGCGAGAGTTTTACAATAAGCTGAAGTAGCTCCGGCGAAAGTTGTTAGCTACAAGGATCACGTATAATGAGCCACAGCAACTACTCCACAATAACGCAGTTTTATTTATCTTTGCCGGTAGACCTTGGACTCTGGGGCTCCAGCTTTGCAAAAATGCATGTCACGGCAACTGTTGTGGAGGATGATCAACTCGTCGGGGTTGGGACCGACCGTCCAGCTCCTTTCAAAGCTGCGCGGAGAGAGTGAGGGATAGGCTGTTAGTGTACTCTGTACCGCACTCGGAAGAATGCTCGCTTCGCTTTCTGAAAAGGGTTCTTGGTTAAGAACTGGTGGACCCACCAGAGGAACCCACAAATTAAGCTCTGTTTTGGCGCCAAATGAAGGAATGATGAAATGACGATCAAAACGGAGGCGGATGAATAAACTATCCGAGAGAACATTATAGAGGTTGGAAGGTTATTTGTCCCCTTAATCACTACTATGTATGATCTATCCGTCGGAATTTACTTCAGAGCGATGGATCGAGGCAAAACTATTATTTCTAGTGTACAGCATACAATCTACTAGTTTACAGGTATGGTCAAGCGCATCTTGAACGTCGTCACCAACGTCGGGCACTACGACGACCCGTCCCATCCAACCGGTTTGTGGTTATCCGAGCTCACGCACGCCTGGCACGTCTTTGAGGAGCATGGGTTCGAGCAGACCATCGTTAGTCCGGCGGGTGGCCCCTGTCCTCTGGAGCCGCGGTCGCTGAAGTTCCCCAACTACGACAAGACTGCGAAAGCGTGGCACGCTGATCCGGCACGGATGGCACTGCTGGAGAACACCGCCCGACCCGACCAGATCAATTCGGCGGACTTTGACGCTATCTACTTCACTGGCGGACATGCGGTGATGTACGACTTCCCAGTCAGTCAGGGCCTGCAGCGCATCACACGAGAGATTTACGAACGGGGTGGCATCGTCTCCTCGGTCTGCCACGGCTACTGTGGATTACTCAACACGGAGCGCTCTGATGGTACCTACCTAGTCTCCGGACACGAGATGACCGGGTTCTCCTGGTTCGAGGAAGTGCTTGCCCGTGTAGACAAATTTGTGCCTTACAACGCCGAGGAAGAGCTGAAGAAGCGTGGCGCCCACTACAAGAAGGCCACACTGCCGTTTGTCTCCTACACCGTCGTCGACGGCAATCTGGTGACTGGGCAGAACCCCAGCTCGGCTACTGAGACTGCGAAAAAGGTCGTCGCCGCCCTTAACCACTCGTGAGCGCCCGTCTTGTAGCCGGATAGCACGAGCCCTAGGGATCTCCAGAGATGGAAAGCAAAGAGGGGATGATAGTTGGAGCTAATTAATGCTAAATTCTTTATATGTATCTAACTCGGAAATACAAGACATAATGTTTTGAAGACCGTTGAGGAATCCCAACCATCATGTATCATTATTCTCTACTCCCCAGTGTGTGCCCCACGGTTGCTATGTAACGCAATACATTCTTCTCCAATGTACCTTATTATAATTCTCGTATAATGCCTGTCATGCGAAAGTCTCTGATACAAAGCATTCCGTACATACCACAATCTCAGCCCGCCCGAGTCATCGTTAACGGGGAACCATACAGTACGGTCAGCATCATCGTCGCATAACTGACGGCAGGTTCGTATAGTGATATTCAAGTTTTGACATTAATCGAACGCCTTCAATGGTGTTGGCATGTTCAGGACCATCTGCGCATCCTTGATGATGTCCATCCGGAGGATGGTCGAAACGCCCAATTCGTTGAGGAGTTTACTCAATGGACCATCACTCCGAGAGAGCGTGACGTTCCCAGGGAGAAGACATTGTGTCGCCAGGAGTGGGTTGGTCTGAACCGTTACCTGGTACCATTTCCCGTCAATCTTGTTGATCGCGTTGTTGGTCGCGATCGAAGACTGGGACGGAATGGTCGTCAAGGCCGGAAGGGGGACGCCCAGCGTCAAATCAGGTGTCCCATCGGTCGCAGTCAGGTCAGCCTTGATGTTGTCATCGTCCATCTCCAGATTGATGTTGGCGAGCCATTTGGGGAATTGGTATCCGTATACACCTCGTACTCGAGCGATTTCGGTATCGACGGGTAGCGCCAACACGTATCCGTAGAAGGTTCGGTTCCATACAGAGCTAAGCAGTTGTGTCGTACTGTAACTGTTATTACCCGGTTGCCGGACGACGATGGCAAGTGAGACCTCGTTGTAAGGGTCGTTGTCGCAGACGAGGTACGAGTAAAACGTCAGCGCGACCAAACCGTAGCCGGGTAACGCCGTAATGGGCTCCAAAGGTGACGGGAGCTTCGACTGCAAGCGGTCGAGGGGCGCGAGGAAGGTGAGTTGGACGCTCCTCGTGCGGTAATAGAAGTTGGGTGCGTATATCTGACCGACTCTCGAATCGACCAGTTTCTTTGGGATGTTCCGGAAGAAGTCGATATCAGGTCCCACGGCCGGATCGCGGGCGACCTCGTCCAGGTTTGGGTTCATGCGATAACGGTCGTAGTAACCGCCCTTGGGCACATCGACCTTCTGTTCTCCGAATTCGACCTGGGTGGTTGGACCCTTCGAACCTCTACATATTCATAGAGGGATCAGTACTGCGTCAAGCGGAGAAGTAGACTCGATAGTCACATACAGTGTGGAGGTCTTTGAGGATGCCGCTGACGAGCGGCCTGCGTTTGAAAGCATGTTGCTGGTGGTATGCTAGATCTAAATTGACCTCTTTCGTTGACAGATATGCAATCATCGGTGATACCTCGACTCATTATTAAATGTTCTAGAACGTAGGTTGTAATCATCGCCTCCAAAGGTCCGTCGGAGTGATTATTGCTCCGCGCAGTGGCTAGTGAAATCAGATTCACGAATACGATCCGACCGTCCATGCCTCGGTTCGCCACGCGTGACCAGTCACACTATATTGGCATCGAGGGAGCCGAAGAGGCTCTGAAACTCTCTCAGTGGAAGACCTGTAAGTATTGAGTTCTCACTGTTGCTCACAACAGTATTAATAAGGTTAGGTTAGCTTTTCCGTATAAAATTGGCTATGATCCTATATCTTCCCTTGACCTCGGTTGACCGATCGAATGCTCTAAGTCAAAACCCCAAAATTCAAGTAGATGCTACCATTGACCATGTGAAAGAACTCGAAGCTCTCACAGGTCTCTCTGATGTCCTTTATCAACCTGTCCTTGGCTGCAGACAAACAGCATGTAGATCACTCAAGATGCCTGTTGTGGGCAAGAGATCCCTCACGGAATATCGCCGGCGTCGCAGTCGCGTTTCCCAGCTCATCCACTACTAAAGCTCAGTGGACTGGCACTTATTTTATAACAACATTGAAATAAGTCTCTAGGATAGTGTATAGCATCAGGCACATATCACCGGGGGTGGGGCGGGGCGATGGGTCACTGTCCTGGTAGGCAAGCTGGCTGCGTCCGGTTTCTGTTTCAACCAAATCGCTAGGCATGCCAGGTTCAGCCAATAATTTCGTTAGTTCGTATACCACATTTGCCCCTTGATATAAGCTCTCTGGTTATTTAACTTGGTTCTCCGACTTCCGTTTGTATGTTTACAAATCCAACATTCCAGACTTGCAGACCCCAGATTTTTAAAATTCTGCCTAAGGCCAACAGTTTTTGCCAAGACTAGAGAATACTTGAGTATCAACATCATCACAACAACACTTTATAGATATACTTGATCTTTTCCAGTAATACTGTGGCATTTTAACTTGTCCAATCGTCAATAATTATTCTGATTTTCCTCATTCAATCTCGATCGGTGTCTCTCAGGTTGGTTACCTCCTTCAGCTCACAATAATATTAACGCCTTCCCCGCATATTAGATGTCAATTTGTACACAGATGTAACCACACCCTACATCTGAACCAGAAAAGCCCGAAATTCCATATATGGTAACAAGGTGACATATTAAATTAATCAAGCCAAACTCTCCGCCAATGTAACAGGAACCTGCAGAAAAATCCTCCGGCTACCATCGGGGCTCCGAGGCAACTTTCCTCCGCGAATATTGATCTGTAAAGCCTGGTGAAGTAGTCTTGGCTCATTTAGCCCCGAATCCCTGGTCTTCCTCCATGTAACGAACTCCTCACGACCTCCTGCCACGTGTTTGTTTCTTTCTCGTTGCTCCTTCACCGTCGCAAAAGGCATGGGCTCTCGTTTCGTTTCGCATGTAGATGGTGGGTAGTCATGTCCGGTGTACAATTTGAACTCCTCTGGAAGCTCGAGCAGCTTTTGCATGGATTGATATAGAGCCTCAGCATCTCCATTTGGAAAGTCACAGCGAGCACTACCAACGTCTGGGTTGAATATAGAGTCGCCTGCGAAGACATTGCTACCAATGAGATAGCCCACATGATCAGGGGTATGGCCGGGCAAGTATAGGACCTTCGCTGTGAGGTTTCCAATCGGGAAGGTCTCATCGTCCTCCAGTAGATGGTCAAACGCATTTTCTAGCTCATCAGTGGGGACAGCATAGCGCTTAGCGAAGGTGTCTTGGACCTGGCGAATCCTTCGTCCTATGCAGACAGGAACTTTGGTACCTTGCACCTGTAGTCGTGATTGGAGGTAGGAGGCTGCAGTGAGGTGATCGGCATGGGCGTGGGTCTCGAGGAGGCGGACTATTTTGTAGTTGTGTGAATTGACCACATCTAGCAGGCTATCGGCGGAGGCCGTATTAATCGTTAGCTGCTCCTGGCTATAGTCCAGTACCGGGTCGATAATGACTGCTTCGCTCGTTTCCGGGCATGCCACAATATACTGCCAGGTGGATGTTCGTCTCTCGAAAATTGGATGGACTGTTGGTCCCATAGTAGCGGTGGTCTTTGCGTGAAGTAATTTCGATGTATGTTTTCAGATTCGATAGCTACTCTGTATGTCCACTGGAGGCAGCCATGGTGCTTTCTGTCATTAATATACGGCTACCTACGGAAGCCATTTGTAAGGCAAGCACTCGACCGAGAAGGGTCGGTCGGGGTGCAGGGGCATTATTACATGAACAAACTCAGCCCTTTCCTACATGACGTATGTTTCTGTAGCCCTGAGTGGCGACATTGATGCAATTATTCCGGAGTAAGTCAATCGCCGATTGCTCGTCCAGGGATCTTTGGTTCCTGAAGCCCTAAACCGTTGGATGTGGGTCGCCGCTCGGGAATGCGCGGTCGCCGACTACGCTATGGACTGAAAGGGTCGCCGACCAATTACTACTCAAGTTTCCAATATTTGGCATGGTTATTTCGGCCGACTAACAATATATTTGTGTTGGATGCATGAATATAGGGTACTGACGGCTGGTTGTGCCACAGTAGGGCTGCACGTCCCCGCAAGTGCAAGGCTATTACCATATAGAAATTTTTTCACTGCCCGCTTGCCGTTTGCCGAAGAGTATGAAATACAATAAGATATCAAACCTCCCGCCTAGGGGCTATCCGACAATGGTAGACAATAATGCCCTCCTGTAGTCTCGATGGCCCAAGATACCACAGAGAAAGCGTCGCAAAGATGCTTAGCAAACGGAGGTCAAGCATGGACAGATCCCAAGGTCTCGAAACATGAGACTGGCTGGCGTTATATCGTTCGGAACTTTACTCCGGCGTATGTGTTAACTGAGCTACCATCATGCCCATCTTGTGAATGACAATGTCTGACTGAACTATAGATGGTTTTCAGCAAACATGGGAACTGGGATTGCATCAATCCTGCTCAACACACTGCCGTACAACGGAAAATGGCTGTATTGGATATCGGTGGTCCTATTTGCCTTTAACGTGCTGCTATTTCTCGTCTTCCTGCTTATTACAGCACTTCGGTATCTGATGTACCCCGATATATTCCCGGTTATGGTCACCCATCCAGCACAATCAATGTTTCTGGGAACCTTTCCCATGGGCCTTGCCACAATCATCAACATGTTCTGTTTTGTCTGTGTTCCTGCATGGGGAGTCTGGGCGAGTTACTTCGCCTGGGCGTTGTGGATCACCGATGCCGTGTTCTCTGTGTTAACGTGCTTTGTATTGCCGTTTATCATGTAAGAGATGATTTCCACTGTCTGAAAGATAATTAGGACTTACAAGGCTGACCCTGTTTAGGATGACACGTAAATCCGATATCGCCTTGTCCTCAATGGGCGCAGCATGGCTACTCCCCGTTGTGTCTTGCGTTGTGTGCGCGGCATCCGGCGCCGTTGTCGCGGACGTATTGCCAGACCCCCATTATGCGCTCGGAACAATCGTTGTCAGCTACGTGCTATGGGGAGTTGGGGTACCTCTTGCACTGATGATAATCGTCATTTTCCTCATGCGCCTATTGCTACACAAGTTACCCCCAAAGGAGGTCCTAGTGAGCATGTTCCTGCCTCTCGGGCCTCTCGGACAAGGCAGCTATGGGTACGTGTCTTTTGTACCATCTTAAATGACCCTTGAGTTACTTACAATCCATAATAGGATCCAAAAGCTAGGCCAAGTATCCCAAAACATCTTCCCGAAAACCGACACCTTGCGACCAGGAACCGGTGACGTTTTCGAAATGCTTGGCTTTTTCATCGGACTTCTGCTATGGGCGTTCGGATTACTCTGGCTTTTCTTTGCCGTTGCATCTATCATTCGTACCCGGAAATTTCCGTTCAATCTAGGCTGGTGGGCATTTACTTTCCCCCTCGGTGTCTATGCCACCAGCACATGTCAGCTAGGCCGAGAAATGCCATCGCGTTTCTTCCGGGTGCTCGGGACGGTATGTTAAAAGCAATAACCAGTTTCCTTATTATTTGCAACTAACGCGACAATAGATATTCTCCATTTGTGTGGTGTTATTGTGGATAGTGGTGACTTGTCTCACTGCCAAAGGCGTGTATGACAGGAGTCTATTCAAAGCACCCTGTTTGGCGGATTTGCGTGAAAAGCAGCGGAGGTTGAGAGAGGAACAAAATGAGGTGGAAGGGAAATGACTCTGTTGGTTACTGTTTAAATATTAGCAAAAGTTATATGATATCATGTTGTGACTTCAGAGCCTTTCAGCATGTGGCTATAGAGTGCTTATCTCGGAGCACCTGCTAATCTTTAATTTAACTTAGGATATTACGATGGGCTAGTGACTGAAAGTCATTGCCATTTAAGGGGGATACGGTTATATTCCACACCATTGTAGATGGGTGTTAATCCCTCATTCTTCCAATCTGTCGCTTTTATGGTTATGTGAAATGAGACAAGCCACTCGAAGCCAATGATGTAGGCCCACCTGGTCAAGAAGAATTCAGGGCCGTCTATACTATTATATTTCGAAAACCTATGGTCTTCCCTGTGAATAAGTGCAATTAGAACTAGACTGGGAACCTAAGTGGTATTGCGACATGTATGTTGGTTCGGGTTCTCAGCTCTGTCGCCTCTAAGACTGCAGATCAACTAACCCATCCAATAATAGCCAGACTCTAGTCACAAAGCAAACGTGTTCATGTTCAGCGTAATGGCAACCATTCTGTTGCTCGCCACAGATCTTATCCGATGCCCTTTGCGAATCATAGAGTTCAGATTCATGTCGAGGGGGCAAACTGCATCTGGTACTGCAGAAATGGTTGCGTTCAACCAAAATGCAAGGGATCAAAAAAGAAGGAAAGAAGAAGGGAGCACACAACAAATCCAACTCGATAGTACCCACGATGTCTTGGGAACAGTTCTGGCCGGTGTCACTGAGCCGCCGTTGATGCCCGAAACTCTCTCTTCGCTTAACACGAGCCTAGTCCATTGCCCTAGTACAAAATAGTACAAAGAAAAGCGAGATGTATCTGCGCTGCATGAAGTGGATCTGGAATGATAACCAGTCTCCATACTCTTACTTAGATAAAAGTATGGTGGGGTAGCTGTAGACGGTCACGTTGGAAAGCCAGCCCCATCCCACGTCCCTCGTGAAGGCGGCAATTCTGGCATAGAAAGATGTCCCGCGAACGGGGCTCTTTCACCTAACAAAAGGGAATTAATGAGGCAGTTAATTCTCCTTAAACGCTTGAAAGAGAAATCATCCCGAGAGTCTGTTTAATGCTAGCCCCCGGATTCATTGACAATGCCGGCAGCCGTGCGAAATGGCCGTTTGAAGCCGAACCGTAAACACCACTCCGATTGAATCAATCGGCTTTTGCCACTACCCATTCATGATTTAAAAATAGAAATAATCAAAATACTCCGAGCCGATGATCGGTCAGTATTAATGTTTAAGGCAGCACAGGAACGGATAAACTGCAAGGTGAAATTATCCACGGCGTCGGATCAATGGGTTCAATGGCTCTACAGCGCCAAGTCGACGACAAAGACCGAGTCATGAGGCTGGTTGGCGAGGGAATTATCACTCGACCTAAGCGAGAGCCCACTGAGAAAGGAGGAGGTGGGATTTGGTCGGGCTTCACTCATCTCAGGCTATAGGTATGACAAGGCAAATCTATTACTGGCAAATTATGTCACGGATAATTGAGCTCGCACAAGAGCAAACACTGTCGTGAACACGTACACTTTCTCTCACTTTACAAGAGCTGCGTCGCATTACTGATTTACTATAAGAGCCCTCAACAGGTGCACATGTAAGTAGGCGATCCTGAAACATATTGTAATATCGGCTGAGTATCTACAATAGCAAAGTCAATAAGCGCAGCATTGTAGGGAAGGACCTATTCAGTCGGCGTACAAACTTCGAAATCAGGTACACATTGTCAAAAAGAAAGATGGTCTCGGTCAAGGCTTCTACTAGAATGATTATGGGCACTAAGGAAAGTAGCAAAAAAGTTTTTTTACTAGCTCATTAGTGATGCATCGAATCATCACATCACCTGATCAGTCTAAGTATCTTTTAGGTTTATATTAAAACTACGTCAATGCTGCATCCGGCGTATGTTTATACTTTATACGAGGAACAAAGAAAACTGTCACTCAGCAGCTTCTTGGGGGATTCTAGGGCAGAACGAACCCAATAGGGCTAATAAAAACTTCCGCCACCGGTATAGCGAATAACGCAAACGTCTTTGTTCCCAAGTCATGACAATACTGGGCGTAAGTTAGCGGTTCATAGGAGCATCATCGACATAGAGGAAAGGACTGATCTTATTGGTGGTGGGATTGGTGGCTTACACTGTGGTGGCGACAGAGAAACCAAATTTGGTCGAACAAGACTCCTGAACTGGACTATCCTCATTTTCAGCACCGGTGAATGACTGGTGAGGTGGTGGTACCGAGTGACACGAGGGGTGTGGATCTGTGGGCGATGAAACGGCATGACACCATCCATGAGTTTTAGGTTTTGTCCACGCGGAGAGAGACGGTGAATATGTTTAAACTCGTGGTAAGGTTGAAATGGTACCGTCCCGCTAGCTGCCTAATGCTGATGCCCTAAAGCACCAATCATTAATAAGTTCCTTGCACGTTACAGCGAAATAGTGCTCTGTCTGTCTGCAGTGATTAGGTTAATTTCGATCTGTATGAAATGACCAACAGGCGACAGGCAAGCTTGCACAGAAGATCGCCCGAAATTCTAGCGCACTGGGGAGCTGTCCGTCACCCAGTAAGCGAAGATGGATCTGCCTTCATCTTTGCCGGATGCGGAAAATGACAGGGCACGCGACTGGCTTAGGAGAACTTGGTTGGCATGCGAGCTAAGGTTCGGGCACTAAAAGACTAGTTCAGGGTAGCATTCAAAAGTTCATATATTGCCTTTTATTGGGTTCGATGGGGGGGGCTTGGCTTCAACCCTACCAATGGCACTTGGTGGTGGCTTGAAGCAACAAAAGGGTAACCCGTATTCCACCAAACAAACCATCAATGACGACCGTCGGGTTTAAAACCCGCTATACTTTTTTCGTGGCGCTACAGCTATTGCCCAGTGTGCGGGATTAACAGTGGTCCACTGTGAATTGGACAATTGAGGTCTGGGGGAGGCATTTTCCTCTTCCATATCTGTGGAGACTGGGAACTTCGACCCTTGGAAGCAGCATCGACCCCAGATCATCGACCCCAGATCCACATCGACTATTTGTACTCGGTTGATTCCTGCAGAGTGATTCAAAATATTCAACAACTTCATGATCTTCTTGCATGCCTTGACTCAGCGGCAGGAAACAACACTGAGATAATGTGTGTCGTGCCATATTGCTCCTCCCTGAGCTTTTTGACTAACAATTTTAATTTAATAGAATGGACGAGGCCAAGTATGTTGCGCATGAGGGCCAGGTAGACGTGACAGTGCAGGGGCCTATTGAGTTAGTCTCTCTCCCCATATTTTGATCGTCGCTTGTCTAATGACCTCTCAACCTTAGCATCGAGAACCCATTGAGTGGTATTCCTCGAGATCAACTCCTTCGCGATGTCGAAGATTATGCGCAAGAATACGACCTGAACGACATCCTTCCTCTCCTGAAGAAGGGAGCCCTGGTGGCCCAGAGGCCGGATCAGTACAACGACATCCCAGAGTTGAGCCCTGAGGATCGTCAGTACTTGCGACAAGAGACAACCAACCGCTGGAAGCACCCTTGGGCACTTTATTACACAATCATCCTCAATTCCATCGCCGCTGCTATTCAAGGATGGGATCAGACGGGTAAATGCTAACCAGTGGGATCGCTTTTAGACATTGCACTGACTTCCTTTATAGGATCCAACGGCGCCAACCTTACCTTTGCACATCAGTTCGGAATCCCACAGGATCCGCCCGACTGCACATCTCCTGCTGAATGCAGTCGCAACCAGTGGATTGTCGGCGCCATTAACTCCGTACCTTACATGACGATCGCGATTTTGTGAGTAAGCCCCTCACTGGCTTCTATGGAGTCGGCGAGCTGACAATATATCGCAGTGCTGGCTGGATTTCTGATCCTCTGAACCATTGGCTTGGTCGCAAGTGGGTCATTTTCATTGCTGCAGTGTTCAGCTTGGTCGCTCCCATCGCGTGCGCAGCGACCCAGTCTTGGGGTCAGCTAATGGCCTGTCGTGTTCTACTTGGAATCGGAATGGGTCTGAAGGAAGTGACGGTCCCGGTCCTTTCTGCTGAGAATGCCCCTACTAATGTTCGTGGAGGTCTGGTCATGTCCTGGCAGATCTGTAAGTACTCTATGCTGTTGTAGGAGGTAAATTCGACGGTATCTAACATATCCCTCACTCATCAGGGACTGCGTTCGGTATCTTCTTGGGAACATGCGCCAATCTTGCTGTCGTCAATACAGGTGCGATTGCATGGAGACTTCAACTTGGCTCAGCATTTATCCCCGCTGTTCCACTACTCCTTGGAGTGTATTGGTGTCCAGAGTCCCCTCGTTGGCTTTTGACAAAGAACAAGGCTCGCAAGGCATATAACTCACTGTTGCGGCTGCGGAATAGTCCTCTTCAGGCAGCCCGTGACCTCTACAAGATCCACTCACAGATGAAATTAGAAAAGAAGCTCATCGAAACCTCTGCGGAATTCTCTAAGAATGATAACATGATTGTGCGATTCATAGAGCTATTCACCGTTCCACGAAACCGTCGCGCTACCCAGGCCTCTGGTATTGTTATGATCGGACAGCAGATGTGCGGCAGTGCGTATCTCCCACACTCCCTCCTCCCATTGCTATCATACTAACAAAGTATACAGTCAACATCATCGCGTTCTACTCCTCTTCGATCTTCGCCAAGGCCGGTGCCAGCAACATCGAGGCGCTCCTTGCATCCTTCGGCTTCGGCTTCGTCAACTTCCTGTTCGCCTGGCCCGCCGTCTGGACCATTGACACCTTCGGTCGTCGCTGGCTCCTGCTCGCGACCTTCCCCAACATGTGCTGGACACTCCTAGCAGCAGGCTTCTGTTTCTGGATACCAGAAGAGCAAAAGAGCGCACACCTGGGCGGCATCGCACTTTTCATTTACCTCTTCAACATTTTCTACTCCCCCGGTGAAGGTCCCGTGCCATTCACCTACTCTGCCGAAGTCTTCCCAGTCTCCCATCGTGAGATCGGCATGGCATGGGCAGTCGCAACAAACAATTTCTGGGCCGCTGTGCTATCGCTCACATTTCCGTACATCTTGCGAGAGTTCAAACCACAGGGTGCCTTTGGTTTCTACGCAGGTCTGAATATTGTGGCCTTGGTCCTGATCTTCCTCTTCCTACCCGAGACCAAGCAGAGATCTCTCGAGGAATTGGACCGTGTCTTTAGCGTGTCGACCCGCGCACACGCCAAGTACCAATTGACTGAGGCACTACCGTGGTGGTTTAAACGGTACGTGTTCCGCCAGAAGAATGCCGTCTGCCGGGATCTGTATGATGAGAACTTCGCGGTCAATGTTGTGCCAAGGAATTTCAAATCTGGGAATGTTGTGCAGCTGGAGAGTGTGAATGTGTGAGTTCTAGGTTTAGATAGCACAGACCTCTATACTTCTTACTGCTAGCTTGAGTTGTGTATTCTGCTGGATTCTTGATTTCCACTCTTGGTGCTTATGCTGTTATTGAGTACAGTAGGGATGTGCGACTTTGTTACTTTTAGGATTTGTATGTTTTAGACGAGGAATGATATGATGAGTGATGGAGCTAAGAGGATTCTGTCGTGTCATACGGTGGATGTGCTTTTAGACCTACGAATTCTTTTACATACAGTTAATTTAAAGTCTCCTCGCTATTGCGGCCATGGTCCTTGATCCGATGGTAGACCTCAGCATAATATTCCTACCGTATGCAATAGATGTGGGTATAAAATGCAGGAGAAAGATTGTCAATTGGCTGTCTCTCTCATTGACTGACTTCTAGATAAGATTGTCTCTGTGTGGTGAACAGGATGACCATGAGTTGGAAGTGTTTATTTTACGTTAACGCTGGTGGTTCTCATCAACCGAGTGTGTCTGGTCCGAGCCAGCAGAATTAACCGCGACTGGGGGCACTTTGGCCGTATATACTATAAAACATTATTCCTAGTCTCTCATCGAGCATATATAAGTACTATAATACAACCAATATAAAATCACTAAGTAACCGTCCGCTTCGGCCTAATAACCCCAAACCCCTTCTCCTTTTGCTTCCTTTTCCACCTCCAAGGTCCCTTCTTCTTCTCCTTCCCCCGATTCGACGATTCACCCTGACTCTGCACCATACTCTGAACAACCGGGACAGAAGTCGGCGGCCGACCATAATACTGATCCGCCTCACGATAAGAATAATCCACACCTTCACTCGATTTAGACTCCAGATCGAGAGCCTCCAATTCCACAGATTCCATGCTGGACCCACGGGATTCACTTTCAGACTGAGATGGTGACGATGGAGAGACGACACTCCATGTTGAGCGGATGGAGGTGGTTTCTGATCTGGGGGGTCGGAAGAAAGATGGGTATTCGTCTCTGGTTGGTAGGTCGCCTAGGAAGGATGGTCGGCGAGGGGTTGAGGGTCGTTGGGTGTAGGGGACTGAGATCTCTGGTCTAATTTAGTATATATGCGGCATTGGGTGTGTTAGAAGGACTCGAGACTCACCAACTGGGTTTAGAGCGGGGAGACGTGCGAATGACATGCGTCGTGTTGAGCGTCGTGAGAGTTGACCGATGCCGAACACCTTGTTTTTGTTAGTATTTCCTTTTTTTTTTTTTT